CACCCGTGTAACCGAAGCAGGGCGCTCCTGTGTCCTCTCCCCTCGCACGCGAGCCACCTCCCTCTTCCTCCTCATCTCCCCCCACCCATCCCCCGCCACTTCCCTGGCACCACCTGCTGCGAAAACCTTTCCCATTTCCCGCCTCCCCACCAGGGCCCAGCGGCCTGAGGTGACAAAGCGGCGCTTTTAGCCCCAGTCTTTCCAGGCTCGCTCCCTCGCGTTCCCTGCTGAGGGGGCGGGGAACCAGCCCCGACTCCAGAGGAGAGAGGCCTCTCCCACTCCGGGCACCTGCTCTTTTCTTGGGAGGCTGGAAGAACAAGTGGGCGCTCCTCCTGCTGGCGCGCGCCCCTCGCTTACGCTCGAGGGGAGCCCCAAGTTCTTCCGCGGTTGTTTGCGCCCCTCCCTCGCTCCGCAGCCGTCCCCTGTGAAGCCCTCCACACTTCGCTCGTAGTCAGGCTCTAGGCACTCGACAAGCCCAGGCTGGGGCTCTCCGCTCCGCAGCCAGTTGCTTGACCAGGCAGCCGAGAGGCACCGGCGTCAGCCCCACCGTGTTAACCTGACTCTCTTTGGGCAGGTGCTCTCCCACACCCACACCCACACCCACACCCCATCATGTCAGGCGACGTTCCAGAGCCCACACAAATTGCCCTGCCATGAATAGGTCTCTCAGCTTCTTCCCCATCTTCCAAAAGTCAGCTTGGCAACCACCTACAGTTCGCCACCTCCCCCTCGCCCAAGAGAGGACCGTTCCCCTTCCCTCCTCGCCCTGCAAACCAAGGCGGTCTCTCTCCTCCTTTCTTTCTTTCTTTCTACCGCCTCCTCCGGCAGCTTTCTGAAGACCCTTGCCTCCCGCTCGCCTTTCTCCCCTTTCTCATCCTGTTGCATCTCTCCCGCTTCCCAGGATCCCCTCCCCCGTGTCATCACCTTCTCCCCTCCCTCCTTCCCTCCCTCCGTCCGCCCCTCCCTCCCTGGTGGGTGCCACGGCTGCTCTGTGCGCGCGGGTGTGTGTGTGTGTGTGTCTGTATTGGGGAGGGGGGAGGGGGATGAGGTCATCCTCTTTCCCGGCGTCAGTCAGCGGGGCGGCGGCGGCGAA